CTCTTATGAAGATGGTCCAAGGCCTGACAGATCTGGGAAGTGCTTCAGAATGAGAATAATAGGCAAACTGCGTCTCCAACTTTGCCACTCCTGTCGATCTGTCTTAGTACAAACTCCCACAGCCGGTCTGGTCTGCAGCAGCGTGGACACCTTGTTTTCTGCCTTTTCTAGAAGAGGCTGGAGGGACTGCTTACCAGTCCCCTTCACTCCTGATTGCAGCTCAATGATACACTGCAGTAGAAGGGCTGCAGGATACATGCCTTGAAATGCGATAGTCTTCATGGGCTTGATAAACTAGGAAAGTGTTCCACTTGCTTCCTTAGCTCCTGTTGGGTTTCTACTTGGCAGGTCACTGCTTGCAGAAAAACGTGGAGCATTTATTTGGTAAGCCCATCTTAACTTGGGAGGGTGTGTGTGGTGCTGACCTTGTGCCCAGTGTGTGGGGCTGCACTTTCCGAGTACTGTGAGATGGGCTGGCTGTACTGTGGTGAAATTGAGGGCTTGGACCTCAACGATGTCCCACAGGGGAGTAGAGGGCTGTTAACAAGAGGTCAGAGCCTAGGAATGTCTGGACTCTGAGGCATAGCGCATAGGGTGCTGGGCTGCCAAGCACTTGGGCTCACAGTGACATCTCACAAGTGACCAGTAGATGGTGCTCTGACAACAGGAAAATACAGTTACTGTCACTCCGAGGCTGGAAAGGGATTTTCAGATGGTCTTCAAACTGGTTTCCAATCAGAGTTATGACTAATTGCTGATTTTCCACATTTCCATTTGTGGGTCTTTAATAGGATAGTGGAACTCGGGGCACTGGAAGGATAATGCCCACAAATTCCCATATGAAGAGCATGACTGCAATATTCTGATCACGAACTTTTTCTGAGGACCCTCCTGGGTCTTGAGGGCATGGTGCCAGGAACACTTGGCCTCTGATCACATTCAATTCGAGGATGGTAAGCATAGCATTTCCATCGGCTTAGTGTCATTGTATAGTTTCTTCTCTTGATGAACAATTTAGAATTACACTATTGCTGCCCTGAAGGGCAGCATGGGTTTTAGAAAGAGCGACAGACTGGAAGTCAGATGTGTTAGAAGTCCACACTCTGCCTCTTACCAAACATGGGCAAACGGCTTAATATTGCTGAAGCCCTGCTGCTTTGTCCGTCAAATACGGGTTGTGATACATGTGTTGCCAGGCTGACCTCAGAAGTTTGGAGTGAGGGTCAGCTGTGGAGTTTATGTAAACTGAAAACTATTAAGCATATATATTATTCAACCGTAAAAACTGTAGCCACTGGCCAGGCACGATTGCTCACTCAGCACTTTGGAAGGCTGAGGCAGGTGAATTGCTTGAGCCTAGGAGTTCCAGACCCGCCAGGGTAACATAGTGAGACCCCCCCCCGCCCCATCGTTATTAAAAAATAAGATAAAACCAACAACTGTCACTGCCTTGGGGGCTGGTAGAATGGGGGATTAGAAAGCATGAAACCAGTATAGAAATTGGTAGATTTCAAAGCTGTCCAGGGCTATGACAGCCCCAGGTGGGGTGGAAGACAGCGTCTGCTTTCCTGCTAGCACTCCTGCCCTGAGGCCAAGTCTCTTCCCAAAGCCATTCTGCCTTTATGCTTGACCCTTTCCTTTTTGACTGCACCCTCCCAGTTCCCTTTTAACTCACCTACATAGGTGCTGAAAGTTCCTAAGTTATTCCACATTATTCCCAACCTATGCATTTATGATCCCTGTTTTTTTGGAAGGCAAGAAGGCAGATAGCACCTCCAGTGTGTCATCACATTTGCACATGTACTGTCCCGTCTTGAGCATTCTAGGTCTCTAGAGAATTACAACAGCCACAGAGAACACAGGACATGGAGTACTGGATACTGGATCTCTGCTGACATCTGATAACACGAAGAGACAAGTCAGGGATCTCTGATGTTCCAAAAACTACACCTGGGAGGTAAAAGGCTAGTGAACCCTGCTTATTCTGGGCATTAACAAGAAGGTATGCCACCTGCTAGCCTGCTGAGGCAGGACCACAAAGCAAAGGGGTGAGAGGACAGCATGAAAGTGAAGTTCCTGAAGCTTTCTGGCCTGCGAGGTTATGCAATCTAGTGTAATCTAGTGTAAGAAGGTACATGATTTATGTCAGCACCCATCTTGTTCATTATTGTATCCTCAGTGCCAAAAACAGTGCCTGGCACGTGGAAGGTACTCAAAAATACTTCTCAACTGAATAATCTGAATGAATTTTGTGCTGTGGATTATGGTAGTCTGAAAGCAGCGACATACACTTAATCATTTCTAAAAGCCCTTTTTCTACCCCTATGTGGTTTACAGGAATATTGAGATAGCCACTTGGGACTAGTTCTAAGTGACTGACTAGCTGATGGGACCTCATGGTTCACAGCACCAACCTCCCTCCATTCCACTTCCGACTAGATATTTAGACAGAAGAGGACCCTCTGATTAAAGCAGGAGGAAGGACAGAGTAAGGCAGCGATGTGAAATCAAAATAACAATTAGAGCTGACTCTCCTTGAATAGTAATTTCAGTGGGCTCCCCTGCATCAGAAGGTCAAATGCCTTCCCCAAGGGCAGCAGGCTGGACATGTTAGGCCATTCCTTTGGATTTCCAGTACTCAGAGAATTTTCCTTCACACACACATACACTCACATACATTCTCACACAATAGACACACGTCAGTGCTCACATGGCCTTGCCCACACGTAGACACATACCCGCAGAACACACATGCCATGCACTTCTCAACGGTTAACCTCACTCCACAGGCATGAAGCCATACTCACCCATGGTTTCCAACCTCCGGGCTTTGGTCAGTGTCTTTGTTTCCTTCCTCAGCCCCTCCTTTCCTTCCTCCCTTCCATCGCTCGAGTTGGGAGGATTTGGACAGGACCATGTGTTGAGCCAAGACAGGAAAACGCAGAGGATGGTGTGCCCCGCCTAGTGTGGAGATGGGAGGGGACAGCTGGTCTCTGCCCTCAGTTCAAACCACCAGTCACCTGTGGGGAAGGGCTTGGCTGCTGAGCACAGGAGCATTTTCCTGGGGCTTGGAGTCCACCTTTCCCACCTCTGCAGCTCAGATACCAAATCTGTTTTTTTCTACATCAATGGGGTGGGTTTGAGAAAGTCCGTGGATCTTATTTGGGAGTAAAAGATGGGGGGATTCTTCTGATTGTTCGGATTTCGAGAAGGGTAGTTTTAGCCCATAACTCACCATGGAGGGCCCTTCTAGGAGAGGTGGGGCAGGGCTCGGCCAGCGAGGAACCAGGAGGCCGCCCTGTGAGGGCAGAAGGTCCTGCCAGGAGCCAGCGCCAACAGCAGAGTGTGGAACCCCCAGAGGTCCCAGCCTCCCCCACAGGGCTTCCCAGATGCTAAGTGGGGAGATGGGGAGAGGGTGCTGCCTTCTCCTTGGAAATCCCTGGCAGTGTTCTTGGAGCCTGGGAGGTGCGGAGGTGCGGAGCAGCAGCGATGCTGCCATGGAGCGTGGCGCGCAAAGGCCCGGACTCCTCGCTAGGGCGGCTGTGGGCCCGTGGCACCGCGCCCGGCACCGAACAGGGCACAGCCCTGGGGACACCTCTCTGCGGGGATCCAAGGCGCGAGTGCGTGTGCGCCGCACGCCAGGCCCTCGCTCTGTTGCGGAGACTCCGCCGCGTCTCCGGCTTGCCTGCCTCTCTCCTCTCGGCTTTACTTGGGGGAAAGGGGACTCTTCATTGGACCTTTGCAGAGGTGGCCACTATCCTTTGGCCACATAAATCAAGAAGGCAAGCCAGCCTCACCTCCCAGGAACCTCCAGCCTTCCGGCTGCATCCCCGCCTCTCCCGCCTCGCCAGCTCCTCCCCCGCTCCTCCCGGGCGCTCTCGCGCGCCTCGCTGCGCCTCTGCGCTCCACTCGCCCTCCCCTGCCTCGCCTCCCCCCTCTCCCTCCGCATCTTGGCCAGTGCTCCGCCGAGGGTGCTGCCTGGGTGGAAGAGGAAGACCGAACCGTTAGTGAGGAAGTTCGGTCTGTGGACAAGCGTGCTGCCAGGCCGCCTCGAGGCTCGGCTGCAACCTGTTCCTCGCCCGCCGGTGCTCGCCGCCCGCCAGCTCGCGCTCCCGCCCTCTCGGCGGCGCAGCCGCGGATCGCTGTTGCATGCTGATCTGGGAGGCGGCGGTGGCGAGCGCTCCGGGCGGATGCTGGCACTCGGGCTTCGCTGCTCTCTGGATGCTGCTCAACTTCTAGCCCAAGCGCAGGAGCTTTGAAGTCATTTGTCCCTCTCGGCTTGGATCGACTTCTTATTTTGAGATTTTGGGCATTGCGGTTTACGTAGGAACCTCAATATCGCTCTTCCCTCCTCCCTCCCCCTTTCTCCAACCTTTGGATGCCTCTCTGCTGGTAGATTTAAGGACCCAAGTCTTCGCGGTGGAATTTCTTGGATGGACTCGCGGGGGTTGGCGTTATAAATCATGTCACCGTAACCCCGTCCTCGTTTTTATTTTTTTTTTAAAAAGTTCTTTTGTTTTCATTTTCCCCTCCCTCCTACCCCTTCCCCCAACCAATAAATCACGAAACTGTTACCTAGCGGGCCGGTGCCTGCCTCTCTCCCAGGACTAGGTGGTGCGTCTGCCAGAAGAGGAGCTATGTTTGAAGAGCAGCCTACTCCACCCCTCTCCTCTGTGATCCCTGAACACCACCACACACTGGCATTTTGAAAAAAATATTTTCCTACAGAAACTGAGCACCCCCAAGCCCTATCCTTGTTTTTTGTTTTTTTCCCTTCTTGAGGAATGGAGCTTCGCAGAGGTTGCATTTAGATTCAACAGTTCACAGCAGCGGGCTGCTGCTGCTGCCTCTCCGGAGGGCTCGCGACGCTCCCCAGAGGCGGTGGTCCCCGTGCCTGTCTGGATGCGGCTTTGAGTCTCCCTGTGTCTTTCTGCTTGTTGCTGTGTGCGGCTGTTCGGCTGCGATCACCTTTGTGTGTCTTCTGTCTGTTTAAACTTCAGGATGGCTCGCTTCGGGGAGGCGGTGGTCGCCAGGCCGGGGTCGGGCGATGGAGACTCGGACCAGAGCAGGAACCGGCAAGGAACCCCCGTGCCGGCCTCGGGGCAGGCGGCCGCCTACAAGCAGACGAAAGCGCAGAGGGCGCGGACTATGGCTTTGTACAACCCCATTCCCGTCCGGCAGAACTGTTTCACCGTCAACAGATCCCTGTTCATCTTCGGAGAAGATAACATTGTCAGGAAATATGCCAAGAAGCTCATCGATTGGCCATATCCTTTCTTGCCCACCATAACTCCCTCTCCCCCTTCTTTGGGTGAAGCGGGGGACCTAGCATGGAATGTATCCCCCACCCCCTTCCTGGTGCCAATTTGCCCCTTTGCTGAAGCGGTGCATCTAAGGGGCAAGCTTGGTGCCTTGGAGACCGGTTTGGGCACTAGTGTTTTTTTCAAGGTAAGACTTTTGCTTTTTTATTTTTCCTGTGTGGAAATCTCTAGTGTCCCTGGGTGCGTCCCCTTCTGGGCTGGGCTTTGTCTGATTCCCCAGCCCCCTCCCCACCCCTACTCCATTCACATGCTGCACTCTACAAAGATTGGGCTGCCCCAATGCTTCCTTTCATAATCAATTCTCATTTTCCTTCCTTTAATCCAGCCACTCTGCCTCTATCCCCACCAGCCAGGAGATACTGCACTGTCTTCCTGTAGGGAAGTCAAGGCTCCATGAGGGGATTTATTAGTTCAGAAGCTCCCAGGGCACTGGGCCAAAATCCTGTATACAGATAGACAAACGAATAAATGAGAGGCTTTTGGCTGGGGACTCAGCTAACTGTGGGGACTTAAGAAACTTAAGTTCCACTGAAAGTGGCATGAATGAGTGTCTGTCAGGGGAGGTGATCTCTGTTGCCACGGCCTAAACAGCTCAAACTTGGAGTTCTCTTCTCAGCCAAGGAAGAGCAGCTCATCAGGTCCGTCCTTTCCTTGGTCCTGGGTTGGGTACTCTTGCTTCTTAGTGCTTGACCCAGCTGGTTGCTCTCTCAGTACCAGGATCCAGGCGGGTCTGCTGGGCCTGCATTCATCCACCGAGGCCAGAGGTGTGCACACAGTCTCTCTCTCTTTGGCTCCAAAGGAACTGTTCTCCCAAAAGCACTGGTGGGGGCCATCTCTGATGGTGGTGGTGTCAGGGTGAACAGGCATGGAAGGAGCTGCTCTGCAGGTTTAAGCGAGTGCACCAAATGCAGGCTGCTGATTAGGCAGCTCACTGCCTTGTTCTTCATTGAGGATTGGATGCCTGGCAAGGCCATAGGAGTTGGGGGTGGTGGGGTGGTGAAGGTGATTAGTAGGAGGCAAGCTAGTGGTCTGGTGTTAAATGTGGGGGTGGGGTTGGAGACATGGGACTTTGGGAGGGAGATTTGGGAGGGATGTACCTGCAAAGGAGGCCCCTCCTTTTCTCCCCTATTCTCCCTCTTTCCCACCCCCCACTCTCCAGGTGTGCAGCAGTGAGGCAGCTGGCTAGTGTTAGCCAGGCACCCAGCTCATTTCCCCCAGGGCTTGGGCATCTCCCTACTCCCCCCACCCCAGCACTGGCCTTCCCCTCTTTCTTCCCGAGTTTCCTGCCTCAGCAGCTCCATGATTGGCTGGCGCGTGGTGCTTCTAAGCAGCACCCCTCATTAGAAACGAAGGAGCATCTCTAAGCGGATATTCTTCCTGCTGCTGTTCGCATCCTCCCACAGCCACCCCTGGCTGGGCTTCTTCCTCTCTCCTCCCTGCACTCCCCACCCCTATTCTACTCCCACAGAGTGATCCCGGGCCATCCATTGCCTGAATTGAACGTATCTAGCTAGGGTGGGGGTTTCGGGCGGGGGAGGGGTCGGGTCCCCGCAGTCACGCCTGCCGGTGTGCTGCACAAAGCCGGCAGATGTCATTGTGTCGTGCGCTGCCGCTGCAAATATTCCTCTAGGCAGTCTACGGATTTCCCACCCTGGGCCCTCCTTTCTCGTTCGCCTTCTACAGTTCTCTAAACCTTCCCATCCACCAGGTGCTGCTTTGCTGTGCCTCTATTTAGGGGCGTGTTTATTCAGACAGGCGCCCTCCCTTTCTTTGCAGTAGACAAAGCCACCCAACTGCCCCGCGGGTGGCGAAGTGTGCCAGCGCCATCGTTGGCACCTCGGACAGCGCCTCCGAAACTCCCAGAGGCTCTGGGGTCCCCAGTTACCCAGGTTCAGCACCTTGGGTACTTCCGGGCTGAGAAACAAGGCAGGTTTCCTGCACCACGCAGTCACCTCTTTACACGTTTTCTCTTCAGCTGCAAAGACACCGCCTTTCCACCACGCATTGCGAGCGCTCAAGGTGCAGCTGTGAGTCTTACTCCTCCCTTTCCTTGTCTTTGGCCAAAATGGACCAGAGAGAGTCAAACCAGAGACTCTCGAGGGAGTTGATTTTAGCATCATGCACTGTGCCTTGGCCCTGAGCCCTGTCCCAATGGTCTCCTCTGTCTACATAGTTGGAAATTTCACAGTGGTTCTGCAGCATGTAGGCTGTGGTAACAGTGTTCAGAGAACATCTGCTAAGGTGTTTAGTGGAGCCCTGTTGGAAAATGTAAAATACACCATGTTTGCTTTTTTTTCTTCTGTACAATGTAATTGACTAATATATTCCCTCTGGTGGTGACCACGTGGAAACACTGGGTTACCTTGGGAAACGCACCTAAATTCCTAGTCTCAACTTCCTTTCCTTTCTAAACATCCAACTTCCCAAAATATCTTGCTTTGTCTTACTGGTAGTCAATCTGGGTAGTGGTTGTCCACAGAGCTAGGCTGCCTGGGTTCAAATCCTAGTTTCTTCACCAGCTCTGTGACCTTGAAAAGTTATTTCATTACTCTGTGACTCAGTTATCTTATCTGTTAAATGAGGATGATAATAATAATGGGAGAATTAAATGAGTTAATATATATCACACACCTAAAACATTACCTAATTACCCAATAAACACTAGTTGTTATTATTAATTATGTCCTTCAGAAATTTCAGCCTGCCTGAAGTGGGGAGGGATCTTAGTTCAAGGTGAAGTCTTCTAGATTCCTGCCTCTCAAAGAGAGCAAGGGGCTGCATCCACATCACCTGGGAGCTTGCTAAAAATTCAGAATCCTGGACCCCACTTCAATCCTGCTGAATCAGAATCTGCATCATAATAAGATCTCCATGTGATTAACATGCTCATTAAAGTTTAGGAAGTACTTCTTTGCTCTTTTAAGGGCCAGATTTTTTTTTTTTTTTAAAGGAAAGAAGGTTGTTCTGTTGTTCAGAAAACATGCCAAGACCTGCTTTCATATTGACACATGCAAGTTTAGCATGCTTGGGGATTTTGTTCGTATTACACCTTTTGAGAATTACACTTTATCATAGGCTGCAGAAAGTCACTGTAGGACGAGGGGGATGATGTACATTTCTATGTGCTGCGTTAGTGGTCTCTTCATGCTGCGTATTTCTGGTCTTTCATCATGTTTGTCTGAAAAGATTGGTTAAGTAAAAGCAATGGTTTAAGCTATGCTTCTAGGACACCCTCACCCCGACTTGGAGGGGAAGGGTAACCTTATCTTCTAGTTATTAATAGGGGAGGTCTAGTTCTTGTGGGAAGAAATACCCAAGACAGCCCAGATTTGGCATGGAAGATGGTGGCAAGTCAACAGCCTACTCTGAATGTGTTTCATTTTTCTTGGAAGCTACATCTGCATAGGGAGATAATTTTATTTTCTTATGGCACTTTCCTCTGCAGTGGATACCATACTCTTTTTAAAAATGCTAATGCGATTTAAAATGTGATGTTACATTCTATACGATTCCTCCTTTTCTTTCTCGCTCATCTAATAGAGCTAACCAAAGGGTTCTCTTCTTTTCTGGCCGTTGGTCCGAGTGCCCTCCCATGTTCACTGTGCTGCAGCCTACCTGCTCTCACTCTTTCATGCCCAGGGCCAGTTACCTGGCCAGTTACCCCGTGGGCATACAGCACCTCATATGTGGTTTGTGTGATGCCCCACTCTTGTCTGAACTTTTCAGGTCAGGGGTGTGAAGGGAAGAAGTGGTGTGTCTGGCTTGGAGACTCTATTCCAGAATTGGGCAATAGGATATTCTCCCCATGCCCCTATCACGTTGGTTGTCTCCTCAGGGGAGCACATGTTTTGTGTGGAAATGAACATGGCTAACATGACAGTAGGAAGGTCAAATATGTTTGCAGCCCTGAGATAATGAAGCTCATCATAGCGAACCTGTGGGCATTAATCCATGATTTCTGGTTGTGGAGAATTTCATTGTATCCTCAAAGCACTCTGACTTTGGATCAGAGATTATATGCTTTCTTATTATGAATCTCCCGTTGTAGACTGTCCATTTATTTTGGAGGATTTTGGTGAGGATTACCAAAAGTTTTAGTTTCTAAATCTCCTATTTAGGCATATCCTTTTCTTCTGCTTTGGTTGTCTATAAATATGCAGCACATTGCAGGATAGTAGACTGAGGTCCTGCTAAGAATTTCAGGTTTGATGTAACTAGTGAATCATGATTCAGGATGCCTTGATTAGGGAAGACGTCGGCAGCCAACAGGATGAAGTCTGTAATTATATCCTATGACCACATAATGCAGAAGGGCTTCATATCGTCTGGGTACCTGTGCACAGGTGCAGATGGTAAAACATAGTGACTTCAGCTGGCACTGAAGTTGTGGGAGAAAGATCTTCATTTTCCGAGTATCCCAGGACAATCTCTGAATTGCCTGTTGGCTTTGATTTTTAAATTAATTATTGATTGATTGATTGATTGATTGATTTTGAGACCGAGTTTCGCTCTTGTTACCCAGGCTGGAGTGCAATGGCACGATCTTGGCTCACCGCAACCTCTGCCTCCTGGGTTCAGGCAATTCTCCTGCCTCAGCCTCCCGAGTAGCTGGGTTTACAGGCGCATGCCACCATGCCCAGCTAATTTTTTGGTATTTTTAGTAGAGACGGGGTTTCACCATGTTGGCCAGGCTGGTCTTGAACTCCTGACCTCGTGATCCACCCGCCTCGCCTCCCAAAGTGCTGGGAGTACAGGCTTGAGCCACTGCGCCTGGCTGGCTTTGCTTTTAATATGAAGTGTGGGTAATGTTTCATCTGGAAACCAGGTCATGACCTGTTGTGGGGACCATTTGTAATTGGGATGCAGCCTGGAAAATGAGTTGGAGTGAAGGAGTTTGACAGAGATGAAATGACTGTGATTGTTTTGTCTGTTGGTTTGCATATCA